TTTACCTTCCCTCTTCCCTCTTTACTCCTTTCTCTCCTCATTAATATGCTAATTACATTTTTCTTTCCAATCATTTTTATGATGTGCGTTGCCTTTCCGTTTGCTCCTTGCTGCAAAGGCTAGGTGTAGGTTGGGGTGGTTGCCATTTACTTGTCTCTGACCTGGACTCTGTTTGTCATTCTGTACACATAGACTTGTGACCTGTCTCCTTGCTTCTACTTATGTCACCTCAGCATCTCCAAATCCAAGTTCATTGCACCAATTTCCTGGCACCTGTACCCTTCCACTGGCCTAGCAGTCCCTGTCCCCACCATCATGGGTGCTTGGCCACCCTCGTCATCTCACACTCCACTAACAGGTACGTGATAGTTACATTTACAGTCTGATCACTAGGGAAGAGGATGAAAGAAAGAGCGCACAAACTTTGCACATTACCTCGATAAATAGTGACTAATTTTATTTAGGAAATGTACTTACAAAAGTGATGGTAAAACAGGCAGAAGTTAACCATAATCCACACAGGGTTACAGGTAAATCAAAGGGGGGGGGGGTAGAATCTAACGCGTTTCGAAGGGCGCCCCCTACTTCATCAGAGCTGAAACAGGCTGGACTGCTGTAATACTGACACTCAGTGGCTGAATGTCTCCTTGCCATGGGAACTCTGCTATACTGAAGTTTCTATCTGCCAAGCCCAGCTCTGATGAAGAAGGGAGCGCCCTTCGAAACGCGTTAGTTTCTATGCACCCCTTTAAATTTACCTGTAACCCTGTGTGGATTATGGTTACCTTATGCCTGTTTTACCATCACTTTTGTGAGTATATTTCCTAAATAAAATAAAATGAGTCACTATTTATCGAGGTAATGCGTAAGGTTTGTGCGCTCTTTCTTTCATCCTCTTCTACAGTTTTATCGAGCTTCCCCAGCTTCATGATAGAGCTGCACAACCTCTGACCACCAGCAGATGACCACGCTGTTTGTTACTAACGCCCGTTTGATCTGAGTCTTTGAGCGCAGGAGATAATAGATCTTTGGTCACTAGGGAAGAGGAGACTTAGGAAATGCTTTCTCCTGCCTGCAGCAGTCTGATAACTAGTGATGGAATTTGCATGTTTGGAATAGGATCCAAAGCCACGTGTTAGCCCACCAGCTAGAAAGTAGGTAATCTCTAAGCAGTCTAATGTGACAGAGCTTGTTGCAATGCCTGCCAGTCGATATACACTAACTCCAGGTTAGTTCCGGTCATGAACATGGGTAAGTGTATCCTCATCCTGATGAGTCCAAAGCCAGATAAATAACTATGGAGAGGTATCAAATGCTCTGGGCTGCTTATATAGAATTTGCTTTATCTACCACGTTGACTTGTTGAGAATGACAACAGGTTGGCCAAATGAGTGCCACATCAGATATTTAGGACACTCAGATACATACAGGACATTTCAATCGCTGAAAAAATCCTGACTTGTCACAAAATACAGCATCAATATAAAAAAGTTCATTTTTTTCTCATTTTAAAGCTGTCCTTTGGGCTCCAGTTATGAATTTTGTCAAGGCTGCAATGAAGGCATCAGTAGAGGTGAGCTTTGGCATGTTCAGACTAGAATCTGAACCCATGTTTGTGAGCCCACCAAGGAGCAGTCACCTGTATGGACCAAATATGGACCACATGTATACCGTATTTACCTTTTGTATATGTGAGGCTGTGTTGTGTTTCCAGGGCAGAAGCAGATATTTGGTCCATACAGGTGACTGCTTCCTGGTGGGCTCACAAACGTGACCTCAGATCCTAGTCTGAACATGGAGCTCATACGCAACCATAGAGGAGGCCTGTGTTGTAGCCGGTGGCATTGCCTGCTTACATTGGGAGCCATGTACCCAATATTTATGTTCCTGACTGAGGTTGGAAAGCCATGATCACCTAAGACAACCCCTTCCACTTCATTGAGGACATTATGTTATGGTTGTGACTTCTGATGTTGTACGCTTAATGTCTCAGCTGTGGTTGTATGACTATAACAAAACCAACATCACCAATGTCAGGATGAGCCTTGGGAAGAAGGACTGAAAAACTGAGGTATTATCTGTGTATGATTTATTGGGAATACAACACTGACATTAGTGTACAATTAAGTAAATCAAATTGTGACAAAAGTCGTCCATTTATCTAAATTTATATACACAGTCTATAGCTGAGAGCTATTATACAGGGACAGGTTCAAGGATAATGGCAATGTCCTGGCTATGTGACCTGGTCCATGTTAAATTGCCTGCTTCCTTTAGGTAAAATGATTTCACGGATTCTTTCCACAATTGCCAGTGGTGAAAAACAAAAAATTCTGAGAAATGTGGCAAACGTTTTCTATGTTGACTTCTTGACATGTTCCTCTTCTTCTTTTACTCCATTTTGTTTTTGGGGTACCACCTGCCTTCCTTATTTCCTTCATGCCTTCCTTCTCTCTCTTCCTTCCTGCCTTCTGGGCTTCATGTAGTACTTAGTCACATTCAGCTGGACATGTTCTGCAATTTTGAAGATGTTTCATAGCTTATCTCTTAGATTGTAAGCTCCAAGGAGCAGGGTCCTCCTAACCCTCTTGCATTGAACTGTGTTGTTGCTGTATTGGGTCACATGCCTGATGAAGGGGTCCTGTGAGACTCCAAAACGTTGCCTTGCTGTAACTATGTGATCGTTTATTAAAACTTTTGGACTCGTATTGGTGATCCTCGGTGTGCTGGTGACAAGGAGCAGGGCCTTCCTATCCCTCTTGTATTGAACTGTATTGTTGCTGTATTGTCTCCCGTTATATTGTAAAGCGCTGAGCAAACTGTTGGCGCTATAGAAATCCTGTATAATAATAATAATCCAGATCCAATAGGTGTTAGAAAAATACTCCAACATTTATATCCACAGAGGTTGCATGGGCACCATGATCACCATAGGATGTGTAGATGTTGCTTGTCCAAGAACAGGATTGGAGGTGTAAACATTTTGGAACCACCATGTTCTAGTTACATAATCCCGTTTCGGTATCAGTAAAGCTTCATTGCTTCCCGTTCATTGCTTCCTTGCTTTCTTCCTCTTCCCAATTTTCCTTTCTTCACTTACGTTCTCTCTTCCATCCTTCCTATTGCAGTGCAGTTCCCATTTACAGTACTCCCCGTATTAAAATGCAGATGCAGGCACCTATAACTTCTTCTTCCACAACTCCCAGGGCTGCTGGACATGCCCAAGAAAGATAGTCCTATCTGCCTCCCTCCCTGAGCAGCTCAGAGAGGTCACTCCCCATGAGGCAAAGGTAGGTGGGCAACTGATCTGCAGTCAGGTGAGAGGCCCTCCACTGTTAGAACTGGCGTTTAGGCACAAATTTGATGAGATTGGCTTCTTGCATTTTTGATTATTCTTCCCCCTTAGATTTTCCATGAACAAGAAATCATTCTGACATCCATCAACTGAGATATCCTGGGGATATGGCGATCATTCTCTTTATCTTCCGTTGTTTAGAGTCTTACCGAACGTTTTCAGAATTCACCAAAGTCTTACAAAGACAATCTCATAAAATCCACAGAGCTTATAATATTTCTGTGCTGCCAAGTTTGAAATATTGATCCATTCCAATGAATGTTTAATGCCACTATGACAGCCAGTAAGAACAAGATGAATAATATCCAAACCACATGTCTTGCGTCATTTAAAAGGCGTGCTCGCTGCTGACAGCGTGTTGGTTACAATGGCAGCCAGGAACATTTTAAGTAAGGGGTAGAAAGGTCACTTTAACATACCCCAGGCATGTCAATATGGCGAGGACACAACCTAAAGATGATTGGATGTTTATGCTGAAAGGGGAACCTTTTCTCAGTCTCTTACCAGTAATAGCATTTCCTGTGTAAGGTACACAAATAAAAGCAGCATTGTCAGCCTGGCATGAAAACACCTTCAGTTAAACATTGAGCTGCTTACCTGATAAACCTGTAGGCAAATGCAGTTAGCTACTTGACCACTAGGTGGCTTTGTTCCAGGATAGTGTCTGTGAATACTGATGACCCTGGGCAGAGAAGAGACTGTAAGTAGGCGGCTGTCGAAGTGTTGCACATGCTTTCACTTGTGACTACTGCGCATCGTCCACTGGATGTGCTTGACTGTGTATGTCAAGTGACTTCGGAATGTACTGTATGTCCTCGTGATGTGAATGTAATGCTATTTCCAGTAAAGTGCAGGAAAACCACTTCTTGTGTGGACATATGGAGGCATATGGCAAGGAGCAGGGCACAAGATTGCAGAGGGTTTCAGCAGGAGGGACAATGCTCTAGCAGGACTGGAGTGGGGGTAGGGACTTGTGCTTTGGTGCAAAAACCAGCCAATCATGAAGCCCCTAAATACCCAACAGGCAGCCCAACATCCAGCTGAAGAAGCTTGCATGGCAGACTGACAATGCTGTTGTTAATTGGCAGAGGCTTTACATTGTCCTGTAACAGGCCAAAACCACCATGCAGTTACATGCCCATGCATTTAAAAAATAAAGGTCAGGGAACTTCTCCTTCTCTTCCATTTTTTTTTCAAATGAAGGGGCTGCTGTGCCAATGCAAATGCAACATGCAGAAAAGGCAAATATATGTGAACCTAGCCTTAGATAACATTCCAAGCCATTGATATTGATTTAAAGCACCTGTACACAGTGAAGGAAATTCTGAAAACATGACCTATTGGGGGTACTTGAGGACTGAAGTGGGGAACCACTGGTCCAGAAGGGTCTTTGCCTGGAATAGATGTGAGTCCACATGTCCTCCCATCCCAGACCTGTTGCCAGGGGAGGGTGTAGCTACAGAAAGAGGACCAGTCATTGCCTCTGAGACCCTTTACTTGCGGGAAGGAGTTGAAGCAGAAGAGTTTGTTTCCTATCTACCCATCAGGGCCTGCGAGTAGCTGGCAAGGAAGGCCTGAAGAGTTGTAACCTGGTTTCTGGCAGAGGTTTAAGATACTTAAAAGTAACCTGTCTGAGCCCACAGAGTTCACATTGGTCTGTGGCAGAGGCAGGGCGGACTGACCATTTGGAAACTCGGGCACTGCCCGAGGGCCCGAGGGTCAGTAGGGGGCCCCATGAGATGCCCCTGGTACCTTTTTCATAGGCTTTTTTGAGTTTGGGCAAGGACACAGGGGCCCCATGATCCCCTATTGCCCGGGGGCCCCATGAGTTGTCAGTCCGCCCCTGGGCAGAAGCATAAAGATACTGGAAGATACCACTAATTGGAGAGATTTTTTTGGGTATCCTGTACCCCTAACCCTCTGTCCCTACTACAAAATAAATTCTCAAAAGACAGTTCAAAGTTCTGAAGTTGGCATTGTGCAGCTACTGGGCAGATACTAGAAGGAAGCAGGAGGACCTGAAAAAATCCATCATCTCTATCAGGGTGTTTGCTACAATAACATGTAGGCAGGTGCAGTCTGTATTCTCCACTGTAGTGGTGCTCGACTGCAGCGGCAATGCAAAGGGGAGAGGAAGTTGAGAGAAACAGGGTTTTCCTATGATTTCCTTGATTGCCCAGGGCAATGATCCAGATGGATGCTCATGTCCCATGTGATTCTGGTGGCCATCTTGGGTCAGACAGAGTCTCTTTAAGACTCTGACCCCTGGGTTGGCATGCTTTATGCAGGTGGCTAGTGTAGGGGCAGGTTCCCTGTCTGTCAGGGAGAGTGTTGGTGATAGGGAAACATTCCAGTGGAGTAGGGGGAGAGAAGAGACTACGTCTGCCTTCTCAGGAAGCTTCCCCTTTGGGTTGGACTGGCCAGGCCGCACTCCACTCCTCGTGGCAGACACTGTCGGCATCTCAGAGTCTTCAGATTGCTGTCTCTCCAACACACTGTTATAAGTGGCACCAGACGGGTAAACCTTCCTGACAGGCCTGTTTGTATTGTTGACCTACTGTTCCAATACAGCATTCTTTGCAAATCAGGGCTCTGTGTGCTTACTGTCCACCAGACCATACTGCACCTTCTCAACACATGGCGACAGTCAGCAGGATATGCCTCTCTTTGCAGCTGGTGCAGAAGGAGGAGTAGCCCCACTAGGCACCAGTAGGAGTGGCCTTGGCCCTGATGCCTAAGTTTAATGGATCCAACATCTCCCTGTCTATGTGAGAGGGGAGACTGGAGAGTGCTGTGCCTGTATCAGGTTCCTGCCCAGCTAGTTGTGGTGCTGGCCAACATGAGGCATGACAGTGATGGAGCTATTGAAGGACTCCCGGGCCAGATGGCATCACATTTGGACAGCCTGTTTGGAGAGAAAATGACAGTCCCAGAGTTAAGGCGGAGGTTCTTCATCCGTAGGCAAGAAGAGGATGAAAACCACTTTTCATGGTAGCCCTTCAGAATCTGTGTAAATGCCTAAAGAATAAGGATGTACTGTACATGGCTGTGCTGACATAACCTAGAAAAAGATGTTTAGTGGGCGCTACCTTAAAAAGTGAAGATGTGTATAAATATATACTGTATACACACAACTAAGTTAACAAGCAGCTGATACACCGAAAAGGTAACCAAAAGAAAACCTCCAATAATACATGTATATCCAATAATTTATCACCATCAGAGTGACATCACGCATGTGTATAAGTTTGCATTAGCATATTGTGTGTATTAATCGTGTGTATTATTATTTAGCGCTGCATCACTTTATCTGGATATACATGTGCTGACATAACCGCCTCAGAGAGATCACTGATGGACCAACTTGTGGTGGGAATGAAGGTTGGGACCATCATGCACAATCCTCCCTCTCTTTCAACGACACTGTAGTGGGTGCGATGGCAAAGGAACAGGAAGATGCAGAAGCAATTGTAGAGGTGACCAATAGGCATGAGTCCGCTACACCTGAAAGAGGAGGCCTAATGGTCTTTGCAACCAGCCCTGAGGAGTCTCTCCGCTGCACAGTTGTAAGTGGCACCGGATGGGTGAGCCTTTCTGCTGGGCCTGTTTGCACTGCTGAGCTACTGTTTCAATAATGCCTTCTTTGCAAATCGTAACTCCGTGTGCTTACTGCCCACCAAACCACACTGCACCTACCCAACAAATGTACTATCGAACTTTAGGAAGCTTTAGAGGAGAAGCAGTCTGGAATAACCATTGGTTGCTCTGTAAGCATGAAAAGCATGCTAAGCAGAAATTAAGTTCCCATGCTGGTCCATGATCATAAATAGATAAGTTTGTAGGAGCACGAGGAAACAGCACCCTAGCTATAATAAACAGATATGATCAATGGTTGTAAGTCAATCCAACAGAAATTCCAACAGCTGGTAGAAGAGCCATTAGGACAATGTATTTGGAGACTAGAGGCAAAACAGTCCTCTATTCCATCTATTCTTAGTATCTCCGCATGCCATAACGTTCCAGACAAAGTCATGTCAATACACCAGATCTATCACCCTTGTCAGCACCTGGGCTTTATAAATGTTAGGAAAATTTCCTGAGTTAGTTGTATATCAGTGTGATGATAGAGTATAAAATAGGCCAGAGCAAAAATGACATTTTGAGGCGTGTAAGAAACACAGCCTACCTGCCCAGGTCTTCTGTTATCCATTTCGATTTTGTTGCATTTGACCAGGAAACTTGCCCAAAAATCCAAATGTTGCTCAATTGCAGCTTTCTGGGAACATCATCGTGCAACACAGCAAAAATATTGGCACCCTTGCACTTCTATCAGATAATGCACCACTTCGCCCAGAAAATTGTTGCAATTACAAATGTTTTGGCATTCTCGTTTGTTTGTTTGTTTGTATTAGTATGACACAACAAAATAGAGAAACAAAAAGCCAAATCTGACACATTCCATGCAAAACCCCAATAATGGACTGGACAAAATTATTGGCACCCTTAATTTAACATTTGGTAGCACACCCCTTGGAAAAAATAACTGAAGTAAATTGCTTCATGTAACTATCAATGAGTTTCTTGCACCTCTCTCTAATTTGGACCACTTTTCTTTTGCTAACTGCTCCAGGTCTCTCAGATTGGAAGGGTTACTTTTCCAACTGCTGTTTTGAGATCTCTCCACAGGTGCTCTATGGGATTGAGATCTGGACTCATTGATGGTCAGTTCAGTATTCTACAGCACTTTGTCTAAAACCCTTTCTAGGTGCTTTTTGATGTGTGCTTTTGGTGATTGTCCTGCTGAAAGACTCATGACCTTTGACGGAAACCCACCTTTCTGACACTGGGCCCTATATTACACCCCAGATTTCTTTGGTAGTCTTCAGATTCCATAATGCCATGCACATGTTCAAGACATCCAGTGCCTGAAGCAGCAAAGCAACCCAAAAACATCAGTGACCCTCCATCATGTGTGACTGTAGGGACTGTATTATTTTCTTTAAGGGCCTCATTTCTTTTTATGAAAACAATAGAATGATGGGCTTTACCAAAAAGCTGTAATTGTGTTTAGTCTGCCCGTAGCACATTCTCCCTAAAGGATTTTGGCTTCCTCAGGTAAGTTTTTGCAACATCCAATCTGGCTTTTTTTATGTTTCTGTGTCAGCAGTAGGGTCCTCCTGGGTCTCCTACCATAGCGTCCCTTTTCATTCAGAGTGCGACGTATAGTGCGAGCTGACATAGTTGTACCCTGTGCCTGAGGGTCAGCTTTAATTTGTCTGGAAGTTAATTGATGGTTCTTTATTCACCATTTGAACAATCCTTTGTGCAATCTTTGATCTTTTTCACTTTCATCCAAGTCCAGGGAAATTAGCTATAGTGCCATGGGCTTTAAACTTCTTGACAATGTTGCGCACAGTGGACACAGGAACATTAAGATCTGTTATTTGATACAAGTAAGTTTAATTACAAATTACAGTGAGCAATTACAAACTTGGAATGCAATTATTTTCTTACAATTTTGAGAAGGTGCCAGTAATTTTGTCCAGCCATTTTTGGAGTTTTGCGTCAAATGTATCAGATTTGGCTTTTTTGTTTCTCCACTTTTTTGTGTCATACCAATACAAACAAAAGAAATAAACATGAGAATGCCTAAACATTTGTAAGTGCAACAATTTTATGGGCGAAGTGGTGCATTAATTGACAGAAATGCAGGAATGCCAATGTTTTTGGCCATGACTGTAGGCACAGAATCACAATTAGATTCCAGGTCAGAAACAGGCAGGGGTCAGCAACATGTCTTACTCAAAAGTCCAGGCCGTGGTCGGTGACATGTATTAGTAACCAAGACCCATACAGCAGGTTGGGATCCAAAGAGGGTTTAAGAAAAAGCTGTCAGTACCATTTTAGTAGGCTTTCAGGATGCACAAGTGTGCTGAACACCCATACAACACCATCCAGCATGTTCCTACAGGTACTCAGTATCTTTCAAAAGGGACAGTGCTAGCAACAGAGAAAGATTCCTATGGAGTAGAGTGAGAGAAAGGACTACATCTGCCTTCTCAGGAAGCTTCCCTTTTGGGTTGAACTGGCCAGGCCACTCTCTGCTTCTCGTGGGAGATGCTGCTGGCATCCTTAAGTCTTCATTTTCTCTCCGCTGCACAGTTGTAAGTGGCACCGGATGGGTGAGCCTCCTGCTGCTGGGCCTGTTTGCACTGCTGAGCTACTATTTCAATAATGCCTTCTTTGCAAATCGTAACTTTGTGTGCTTACTGCCCACCAAACCACACTGCACCTACCCAACAAATGTACTATTAAATTGTAGGAAGCTTTAGAGGAGAAGCAGTCTGGAATAACCATTGGTTGCTCTGTAAGCATGAAAAGCATGCTAAGCAGAAATTAAGTTCCCATGCTGGTCCATGATCATAAATAGATAAGTTGTAGGAGCACGAGGAGACAGCACCCTAGCTATAATAAACAGATATGATCAATGGTTGTAAGTCAATCCAACAGAAATTCCAACAGCTGGTAGAAGAGCCATTAGGACAATGTATTTGGAGACTAGAGGCAAAACAGTCCTCTATTCCATCTATTCTTAGTATCTCCGCATTCCATAACGTTCCAGACAAAGTCATGTCAATACACCAGATCTATCACCCTTGTCAGCACCTGGGCTTTATAAATGTTAGGAAAATTTCCTGAGTTAGTTGTATATCAGTGTGATGATAGAGTATAAAATAGGCCAGAGAAAAAATTACATTTTGAAGAAACACAGCCTACCTGCCCAGGTCTTCTGTTATCCATTTCGATTTTGTTGCATTTGACCAGGAAACTTGCCCGAAAATCCAAATGTTGCTCTATTGCAGC